TTAGCGTCTAGGGTTGAGGGTTTAGAGTACCCTGGTCGACCCTGAATCCTAGACTGTAAACCGTCGAACCGTGGACTTTCCCAAGTAAGGATCTTGCTCTTCGTCCTGAAGCCCCCAAGCTCAAAAGCCCGTCCTTGAACTCCAAACCTCAAGCCCTAACTTCTAAACCCTCCCTTCTAAGCCCTCAATCCTGAACCCTAAAACCCTATAGCCTAAGCAATGACATCTTTTTTGAAGCCCAACGCCTCGCCGGTAGCAAGACATGTGCCCGATCCCATGCACGTCTAGCGCATGGGAAGTGGTAGGAGCTAGCTGAGTTGGTTTCGAACTTAGGGTTGAGGGTTTAGGGCTTTTGGGTCTACGTTTTAAGGTTTAGGGTCAAGGGTGTAGGGCTTAGGACGTAATGCTTAGGGGTTAGGGTTTTGAACTGGTAGTGCGAGGGGGGGGGGGTGGGGGCTCGGGGCATTTTTCAGCATTAGGCGGTCCAATGGTTGGTCTCAAGTTATCAACGTTGCTTAAGGTTTAGGTTGGCTTGTGTCTTTTAGGATTGCCTCCTGCAGAACCCAAGCCCTAAAGTGTTCCAGGAGTTGGAGTTGTCATTCCCTCAGTTTATCAACATCGAAGCCCTTCCGCACAAAACCAGCGTTTGCATATGGTAGTTGGTCAAACGGCCAGCATGGAACATGTACATGAATACAGACCTACTGGGACAATAAAGAATTTCTCCGAGCAACCCTCACATACCCACCTCGCTTAAGGACATGGTAATAGTAAAAATAGTCATACAAATAAAGTAACAGTAATAACAATAATCAAGTATGAAGAATACTAATAAAAATGCGAAGCTGAACTCAGGGCCTCCGCACCACGGGGGCCGGGCTTTCTTTTTGAGCTCCGCCAGCCAAAATCTTGAAATGATGTCCCACATACCAGGGTTTAGATGTGGGGTTTAGGGTTTAGGATAGAGGGCATAAGGGATAATGGAAAAGAACATGGCAACTATAGGGATTCTAGGGATTCTATAGGGTTTAAATTGGGGTAGATGGGGATGTACAGGTTTAAGGGCCCTGGAGAATCAAATGGAAAAGAGACTTTAGGATGAAGTTTGAAACTTGGAGTAAGTAATGGCTTCATAGGGTGCTCAATGTAGAGGCATGAAGAATAGCCAGCGGGTTTAGGGTTTAGGGTTTAGGGGGCATGAAGAATAGCTAGCAATCTTACTGCCTTGCAAGCCTAGTTCATGTGGCTATTGCAGAATAAGACATTCCGAACCTCTGTTCCAATGATCTTAGAGTCGTACATTACAATCCCTCTGTCAACCCCTATGTAGTTCCAATATCCACGTCATTTTCCATATGATTTCCCAGGGTGTCTGCATGATGCAAATTATAGTAAAGCCCCTACATTCCCAAACCCTCAACCCCTAAACCCTAATCCCTAAACCCTCAAAGCCTAAACCCTAAAACCTATACGCCCTAAGCCACCCCTTATACCTCCCCTGAAACACAAGCCTTCATATCTGGACTTTCCCCACAACTTCCTGTGCCAAAAGTTTATGGGTTTGCTGGTAAAAATCCCAACCCGAAGACATCCAACAGGGCAACGCTTGAGGTAAAGCTAAAAGCATTATGTAGATCCTAAGCTGCAAAAACTCTAAACTGTATATCTTGAACTGCGGACCCTTGACTGCTACCTTTGATGCTAGTCTGCATCGGTTGGTTGTTTAGGAAGAAGATTTTTGGGCCCTGAACCCTAAACCCTACACTCTATACCCTAAACTAAGCCCTGAACCCTACTGCAAACCTTAAGCCACTAGTCTTAGGTTGGCAGGGTTTAGGGCTTTGGGGGTTTAGGGTTTACGGCCTAAAGGATACCTGTAGCATATACACTGGATATAGTGGGACGCCGGGGTTGGTGACCTATAGCGCGGGCCAATGTTGTTAACCTTAAAGTTAGTGCACTTGGCTCTTGGCGGAGCTTTCAATGGAGAGTGGGGATTTTCAATGCAGCTTACCTGCTCCAAGAAGGAAACGAAGCATGATGGTTTGTTGCCGGGGCTATCACCCCAGAACGAATCTTCAATCGCGCAGAGCCCCATTTTGCAAGTGCAGTAGCCTCTTTTGTGATTTCATGTTCCTTTAGGGGAGGGAATGGAAGCCCAAAGCCTTCCCAGAGTTTGGAAAGTGGTTCAGAAAGGGGCTATCCTTGTTGGAGTTGCACCATATCTTTAGACTGTGGCAGCGTGGTATGTGAAGTCTGTAGCAAGATGTTGTCGTAGAGGGCTCGCATGCGCGTCATTGTAAGGGTGTTAGGGCCTGTTAGGGACAGTTGCTAAAGAGCAACTATTAAGAGCCATGCCCCCTTCTGCTCGATTTTTTTGCCGCATCCGATTCGCCGCTTGTGCAGCAGCAAGTCAGGCTCACGACCCAGCGTCGCCAAGCAGAGCGATCCTAGCCGCCTCCGTAATGACCTGCCTGACTGCCATGTCGGCCCCAATGCGCCCAAAGCTCTTCAACCGCACCGACTCGGATAGCACCGAGGCCCCCGAGCACAGCGATGCCGACACCGCTAGAAGCGTGTGCTCCTCTGCATCTCCTTCGCCGCGGGCCCATGTCCGCAGCGAGGGCGCATGCAACGTGGTGGTAAGGTCCACGTTCCTCGATGTTGCAGAGGACGAGGGTCTCATGGGGTGCTTCCGGCAGCTACGCGGCCGAACGATGTCGGACTCGGCGCTGGTGGTTGCGTTTGGCGGTGAGGAAGCTTACATTCCCGGGAAGTTCAGCAAGGAGCATGCCTCGCCTCTGATTGTGAGTCAAGCGCCCAAGGATGATTGCAGAGTCTCGGGCATTGTTGGGCAGGATTTTAGACTTAGGAAGTCTAGGGTCTTCGTGCTTACTTTCGGCATGCCGCTCAGGCACGATTTGAGCACCTTTTTCATGTTGTTGGAACATATGATCCCCCAACGGGAGCAGGATTTTTTGAAGGGATCCGCACGTGCTCTGAGAAGGGATATCATCTTACTCTGCTCGACCGTCCAAGGATCCTCTAGAATCCGTGTGATGTACACCCCAACCAAAAACCTAGCTCGGCTAAAAGCTGGGACTTAAGGTTAGGGTGTGCGGCTCAGGATTTTGCACCTTGGGCAGCTGTGATTCTGAGTTGAGATTCCCTAAGCCCCAAACCCCTAAACTCTATACCCTAAATCCTAAAACCCTACTGTATATCATCCGTAAACACACCATTTTCCATTTGGTTTTCCATTCGACTCTCCATCAGTACAACCTTAAAAACCCACCCCAAACCCCTAAACCCCCTAAACCCTCAACCCTAAACCTCCTAAACCTCCTAAACCCCTAAACCCCAAACCCCCTAAACCCCAAACCCCCTAAACCCCAAACCCTAAACCCCCTGAACCTCCCAAACCCTAAACCCCCTAAACCCCCCAAACCCCTCAACCCCCCCAACCCCCCAACTTGAGCCTAGGAGTGCAGCCTATGGCTGTGCAGCCTAAAGCAAAGCCCTCCCACAAGAAGAAGACCCAACTGGCCAAACAGGTGCGATGGGTGTGTGGGGGCTTGGCGGGTTTAGGGTTTGGGGGGTTTTTTAGTTTGCGGGGTATTGAGGCTTAGAGTTGGGACTCTTGGGGGTGTTGGGTTTAAGGTAGGGGTAAAGGTTTGAGGCTTGAGGACCCTATGCAGTTGTTGCTGAAATTGTGGTGGCCAAGAGGATAGGGGTGGACACAAGCTTCCTTATGGTGAGCTAGCAAGATCTCATTCTATTCCTGAACTGCAGGTCCTCTGCACCTACAATGGCGGAGCAGGGGCTGAAAGTTCTATGCCAGGGTTACAAGGGTAGCATGTGAGGGCTAGCAGTGTAGGGCATGTAGGGCTTATATAGTCTGGATATATACATATATATATAAAGTAGTTTCCCTAAATAAGGGGACCCCAATATAGACCCCAAAATACTATAATCCTTATTATGGGGACCCCCAAAAAGGTACTCCTAATTTTGGGAAGTTCCCATATATATATATATCTATGTCGAGCCTCAGGATTAGACCTAAGCCTAGGCGTGAAACAGCAAGGAAGCGCCTTGAACGGTGAATGGTAGTCTCCAGAAACCTTCTAATGTAAAAAACATGCAAAGTGAGCAATGTTATAGCCCTAGGTTACCTGCAAAGTTGTGGTATAGGGCGCCTAAAATAGACCTCAAAATGATGTTTGTGATTTTTACTCTACGCGCATTCGCTTCTTCATATTCCTGACAGAATACTAAACCCTAAGCCCTAAATGCCAAGCCATAAACCCTGAAGTGCAGTAGGCAGAGAGGCAGGCTTGAACCATCATGAAGCAGCCCTTGTACCCAAAAGCTCCAACCCCAAAATTGGAATTACGCTTTTGTGTTACGGGTTCAGGGTTTAGGGCTAAAATCCTGGACCTCCTATCCTGATGGTGCTCAAGGGGGACCGTGGGGGAGTGACTTTAGGTCCCTCAGGTGTTTAGGGTTTAGGGGATAAGGTATATAGAGATCATTATGGAGATTTTCTCCTCCGCTCCCCTAAAGCACTAGGCCCGCAAACCCCCCTACCTAAACTCTAAACCCTAAACGCTGAACCTTAAACCCCCCTGAACCCTAAACCCTAAACCCCATGTGCAAGCAGGTGGATAGAACCACGGTCATGTTGCGGAACCTGCCCAATAATTACACGCGCGAGACCTTTGCCTGAAAGAACTTGTGGGAGTGAACCTAGGGTTTCGGGATTGTTAAGCTAGATGGGTAGTTCCCAAAATGACGGTCCCATTTTGGTACCCCAAATTTTAGGTGCCGTGATATCGTCTATAATCAAAAGGCGCCCATAATTTTGAGAACAACCCAGATATTCTCATGAAGAACATACATATGTTGTACATGTATATGTACATGTATATGTACATGTATATGCGTATATATATATATATTAATGCCTACATGTGGGGAGTGTATAGGCATGGCCATATGGATCTGTTCCCATTGTGACCTGTTCTGGTTCCAAAGGTTCATCGTAGGGTCATCAAGGGGCAAACCCTCAAACGCTGACCGTTATGTAGGGGTTGTTTGGGGATTGCATGAGGGTTATCATGGGGAACCCTAAACCCTAAAC